GTGCGCTTGCAGCTGTCAGTGTGGACAGGCTGCAGCACTTTCCCTGCTGCGCTCTCCGAGGGCTGGTTTAACTCAAAGCGCTCTACATCTGCAAGTGTAGCCATGCCCAAACCATGCCATGTCTAGTGTAGACCTGGCCTTAGACAAGTTAGATGTCTTCAAGTTGGAAGAGCATGACAAAATATATCCTAGAATACTTAAGAAACTGGCTGGGCTGAAGAGATCTCTGAGCCACTAGCAATCATCTCTGAGAACTCAAGGAGGACAGGAGAGATTCCAGAAGACTGGAAAAGAACAAATATAGTACCTACCTATAAAAAGGGGGAATAAGGACAACCCAGGGAATTACAAACCTTAGCTTAATTTTGGCACCCAGAAGGGTAATGGATCAAATAATCAAACAATCCCTTTGTAACCACCTAGAACAGAAGTGGTCAAACTACGGCCCGCAGGCACATCTGGCCCACGGGACCCTCCTGCCCAGCCCCTTAGCTCCTGGCTGGGGAGGCTAGCCCCTGGCCCCTCCCCCACTGCTTTCCACCTCCCCTGCAGTCTTAGCGCGCCGCTGTTGCAAAGTTACCTGGTGCTCTGGGCGGCGCGGTAAGGGGGCAGAGCGCAGGGGGGCTGGATAGCGGGCAGGGGAGTTCGAGGGTGTGGTCAGGGGTCGGGGCGGTCAGAGGGCGGGGAACAGGGGAGTTGGATGGGGCAGGGGTCCCGGAGGGGGGGGCAGTCAGGAATGAGGGGGGTTGGATGGGGAGGCAGGGGGCAGTCAGGGGTGGTGAGTCCGGGGGCGGTCTGGGAGCAGGGGGTGGTGGATGGGGCAGGAGTCCTGCGGGAGCCATCGGGGACAAAGAAGTGGGGGGGTTGGATAGGAGGCAGGGGCTGGGCCACCCCTGGCTGTTTGGGGAGACACAGCGTCCCCTAACCAGCCCTCCATACAATTTTGGAAATCCGATGTGGCCCTCAGGCCAAAAAGTTTGCCCGCCCCTGACCTAGAAGATAATAAGGTGATAAGAGTCCACATGGATTTGTCAAGAACAAATGATGTCAAACCAACTTAATATCCTTCTTTGAGGTGGTAACAAGCCTTGTGATGGGGGGAAGCAGTAGATGTGATTTATCTCAACTTTAGTACAGCTTTTGATACTGTCTCATATAACCTTTGGAGAAGCAAACTAGGGAAATATAGCCCAGATGAACCTACTATAAGGTGGGTGCACAACTGGTTGGAAAATTGTACTCAGAGAGTAGTTATCACTGGCTCACAATCAAGCTGGAAGGGCATAATGAGTGGGGCCCCACAGGGATCTGTCCTGGGTCTGGTTCTATGCAATATCTTTATATATGATTTGAATAATGGCACAGAGGATATACTTGTAAAGTTTGTGGTTGATACCAAGCTGGGTGGGGTTGTAAGCATAGGCGCTGACTCCATGAAAAATTGGTGAGTGCACCCACCGGCAGCCAAGCTTCCCCCCCCCAGCTCCTCCTCTGAGCGTGCTGTATCCCCACTTTCCTCCCAGCACTTGCTGCCGCAAAACAGCTGTTTTGTGGCTTTACAAGCTCTGGGAGGGATGGGGGAGGAGCGGGAACGCGGCGCACTCAGGGGAGGAGGTGGGGCTGGGGTGGGGATTTGGGGAACGGGTTGGAATAGGGGTGGTGCAGGGGTGGGAAGGGGTGGGGGAGGGCTGGGGGCAGGGCCGGGAGCAGAGGGGGGTCGAGCACCCTCCCACGCCAGTAGGAGTTGGCGCCTATGGTTGTAAGCACTTTAGAGGACAGGATTAGAATTCAAAGTGATCCTGACAAACTGGAGAAATGGTCTGAAATAAATAGGATAAATAAAAATCCAATAAGGACAGATGCAAAGTACTCCACTAAAGAAGGAATAATCAGTTGCACAAATACAAAATGGACAATGGCTGCCTAGGAAGGAGTACTGCAGGAAAGGACTGGAGGTTACAGTGGGTTACAAACTAAATATGAGTCAACAAAAGTAAAGGACAATGTACTACTGTTGCAAAAAAAAAACAACAAACATCATTCCGGGATGGATTAGCAGGAGGGTTGTAAGCAAGACATGAGAAATAATGCCTTCACTCAGGACGGATAACGCCTCAACTGGAGTACTGTGTTCAGTCTGGGGCACCACCGTTTGGGAAAGGTGTGGACAAACTGGAGAAAGTCCAGAGGAGCGCAACAAAAATGATTAAAGGTGCAGAGAAAACATGACCTATGAGGAAAGATTGAAAAACTGGGTTTGTTTAGTTTGGAGAAGAGAAGACTAACAGGGGGACATGATACCAGTCTTCAAATACCTAAAAGGTTGTTATAAAGAGGAGGGTGATAAATTGTTCTCCTTATCCACTGAAGATAGGACAAGTAGTAATGGGCTTAAATTGCAGCAAGGGAGATATAGGTTAGACGTTAGAGAAAATTTCCTAGCAGTAAGGATAGTTAATCGCTGGAACAAATTACTTAGGTTGTGGAAGCTCCGTTACTGGGGTTTTTTAGGAACAGATTAGACAAACACCTGTCAGGGATGATCTAGATAATGCCTAGTCCTGCCTCAGTGCCGGGGACTGGTCTAGATGACCTAGCACGGTCCCTTCCAGTCCTACATTCCTATGATTCTAGGATTTACAGTCTAACAGGGTCTTCTTTAGCCTTACACTGAGATTCTGGCAGGTTTGTTCTTACAAAGGTTGTACTTGATCCCTGAACTCCTCACTTGCCTGAGGAAGGGATTGCTGGACTGGAGCACTGGGTGAGGAACTGGAGTAGTAGAAATGTGATGGAAAATATCCATTGCATAGTGATCAATAGCCATATTTTAAAGGCGATTTAAAAATCTTTTGACAAAATAAAATGCCCCATGGATTAGAACATTCTGTAGCAAGTGGCAGCTGAGCGGATACTCAGAATGGGGTTCTAATAATATTTTGTGCTTATCCAGCACTTTTTAATTATTTCTGGATGCCCAATTCCATGCTCAGCCCACTATCCCACAGCTGGAGCTGTGAGCATGCTGAGAACCTGAGACAGACACTGAAAATGCTCCAACAAGCAAACGGAAACCTACCTTTCTCTCTGCCACAGTGAAGTGCATATAATTACTTTGGTCAGAGTCGTTCCCAAAGGAATTCTTTAAACCTTATAAAATAAATTAACGCCACCCTGCCTGCTCCATGTCCATCCATCCCCAAAGAATGTCCCTCTGATACTACCCCATGTGGACAGTAAGCAGTTCACCCATGAACAGTAACAAAGCAGCCTACAGAGGAAAGAACCCATTTGGAAGCATGTGGCTGCAGATGGGCACAGAATTTTGCTCCTTTGAAGATAATTTGCTGTGATTCTTAACTTTCTGGCTTAGCACCTGCTTCTGTAGCAACTAGCACATTTTTTGCACTAGACAAATATTAAATAACAAAGCCAATACAATGCTCATAATAACAGTGCACAGATATTGCAGTGATGGAAATGGAGAGAGAGAGAGAAACTGATTCAGTCTGTGGCCCCAATCCTATAAGGAACTGCACTTGGGGAGGCGGGGGGCTGTGCTCATGTGAAGCATAAATTAAAGTGGATGGGGCTTTGCTTGCCAGGAGTGACTCTGCAGAACCAGGACCCAACTCTCTATCCAACTTCCCAAGCAGGTGCTAATGAAGAACTGTGCAGGGAAAATTACTTTTAAAATTTATGCAAATTACTTTGACTATATCTTTCCAAACAGTAAGAGAAGCTGGGACAGTGCCAGGAAGGGCGTCTTTCATCAGGACTAAAATGGGCAGCATTTTCTCATTTTTCAAATAGAGCTGGGGAATAGGGGGCAGGACACCTGGGTTCTATTCCCAACATTGCCACTGACTCCCTGTGGAGAAAACGCTTCAGTGCCTCATTTTCCCCATCTGAAAAATGGGGATAAGAATGATTATTTCAGGTACTAGCAGTGGACCAGGCCCCCATTCTGCTAGGTGCTGTAGGACACCTCACAAAGAGTGTCTCAGAGTAGCAGCCGTGTAAGTCGTATTCGCAAAAAGAACAGGGCTGTGTTCACAAAGAGTGTGTTCACTTCCCCACTTTGGTGAAGCACTTTAAGCGCTGCGGAAAAGAGGGGCTATTGTCATGCAAAGTGAACTGTTCTCATGGTGCATCAGGAGAGGACATGGAGAACCGTGTACAATCCTGGCTTCCCAAGACTCTGGGTGAGGTGACAGATCAGCGCTCCGGTGTGGTCGGCTTTGGCTCTAGGGCCAGGAAGGGAAACACTGGGCAACTTTTTTTTTTTGGGGGGGGGGGGGGGGGCGGAATAATCAAGGAGAGTCAAGAGACTGGGAGGGGGAGCCAAGCCCGGCCTCCACAGCCCTGCAAACTCTGCCGGGGCACTGCCCGGCTGCAGCCCCCCGTCTCCCCCGCTCCTCTCGCACGCAGCGGCCGCTTCCCCCCCCCCCCACCCCGTTTTTCTTTTCCAAAGGCTCCCTCCCCCATCTCTTACTAGAATATTGTGTCTGCCCATTTTTGGGAGCTCTCTGCCAGACTCCGGAAGGAGGGATGGGGGGGGAAGAGGAGGCTCCCAGACACCAGCAAAGAGGGAGGAGGAGAAGAACCCCCCGAAACCTCCCTCCCAAAGGGGGTCCGTGCACTTCCGACCGCCTCGGCTCGCGCCGCGCGGCTTTGGTGCTTGCAGAACCCAGAAGTGAACGGCAGGCGACCCGGAAGGTTTGAACTGAGCCTTTCAGACACAGCAAAGCCAGAAAGACCATCCCAAGCGCGGCTTGGGGGCGGGGGGCGGGCGGGGGTTCTTTTTTTATGTCTATTTGCCAAAAACCAAAACAAAATCCAAAAAACCTGCAGTTAAGGCAAACCAAGGTCTGTATGCAACAACCCTCCCCCCAGGACAGCCGTGGTGGCGGGGGTGGGGGCTCCCTGCTAAGAAAGGAGCATGGAGGGGGAGCCGCAAAGGGGGGGGGATTTTTTTAAGATGGGGTCGCAAGAAAAAGTTGCATGCAGTTTTCTGTCGCTCTTGGTCTCCTTTGCAAACTGCAATCGCATGTCAGTCTCCGGCGAGCGCTGCTGGGCTCGGGCTCCGGCTGCTGGAGTCCGGCGAGAGGAGGGCTTGAGGGGCTTTTCCCCCTCTCTCTCCCTTTTTTTTTTAATCTGATGCATGCATTTGATCCCGATGAGTGTCAGCTGCGTGGGGGGCTCTGTCTTTTCAGTGCCCCCTCCCCCGCACTAAAGCCTGGGCGGGTTGAGGAGGAGGAAGAGAGGAAGCTAAAGGGGGGAGCTCATTTTCTTCCTTGCAGACGGATCGCTGGCTGGATTGCAATTCGCCAAGGGAGCATGATTGTTGGTATAGGAAGTGTCTGCTTTTTTTTTTTTTTTTTTTTTTTTTTAAAGCCGGGTTATTCAAAAAACCCCTTTGGTGCAATTCTCCGGTAAACAATGATTCATGGGGCTTAATGCAAATAGACGGATTGCAAATGGAGCTTTCCCTTTGCACTTTGGAGCTGCCTGATTGTTTTTGAGTGGCCAAGCCTCAGATTTCTGTCTTTTTTTGCAGATCTGCAGAATATGGCGTCCCTGTCCTGTTTTAAAAATAAGCCAGGCTGCCATTTTTGTTTTTCTTTTGTCTGAAAATTTTAATAAAACTGTCTGAGAATGTGGGAGAGGCAGCTGAAAGGCAAAAGGGGCACCTAAAGGGGTGTTTTTTTCTTTGCTTTGCGTTTTTGTGTTGTTGCAAAGATCTTCGCTTGCACGGGGGGGATACAATGTAATTGGATTTTTAAAAAAGGAAACAGTCAAACATTTCTGTGGAAGGGGGTTAAGATTTAAAGTTAACTTATGCAAAAGTTTTTTTAAACAGCCTTTTAAAAACAAAAACGCAGTGAAAAACCCTGCTCTGTATTTTCTCTTTCTCCCTTTGGATTATTTAATGGAAAAGTTAATTGAATCTGAATGTAGCTATTTTTTTAAAAAACAGATTGTTGTGAATGTTGCGTGTTGGTTAAAAGGGATTCAGTTTTTGGGGGGTGGTAATGAAAAAGTGTTTGTTTTTTTAATTTCGATGGAAAGCAATATTCTAAGCGGAATGTTTAACCAGGAATATTTTGCAATTGCACTTTAGCAGGAATGTAGTGTTTTCAGAGTGTGGAATCTGCAGTTTTAGAAACTGACACAATTTTTCGTGCCGTTGTCTAGAGAGGTCTGTGCATATGTGAACATGTATTTAGCGTGTGCTATGTGCATCGTGTGTACATGCACTTACTATAATACATGCATAATTTTAAGTGCATGTTGGATTGTACATACAGTCTGTTCTAGAATATTTAAAAGGGAGTCAGACTAAGAGAAGTATTCGAGGATATAAATTATTTATTTTTAGACAAGCTGCTCATTCAGAAGTATTGTACCAAGTGTAGTCAAGAGCACACATCCTTCTTATATGGTATTGTAATCTTGCACTTTTATTTGCTGCCCGTCTTGGAAGAGTGAAGGACAATTTCTCAACTGCCTGTTTGAGCTGTTCTGTTACTATTGCTCTGGTGACTGATAGCAGATGGGTCAGCTTAAACTAAAGTCACATTTTGGGGAAGAGGCAAAAGTTTTTTAAATCCTGATTTAGAAGATTGGAGGGGGGTGGATGAAATCTGGCCCCAGCCCTACGGCTGGTTCTGCTTTTGTCCAAATATTCCTAAATAGTTTAGTCCAGTCCTGTTCCTGGGATAACTTCTCTGACTTCTGTGGAGCTACGACAGGGAGAAATTTGGCCCTTCGTTTATTTTCTCTAAAGAGAATGCGGCATTCCCATGGATGTGTTAGTTTGAAGGCAGTATCTGTAGTCCCCAGGTGTGTCTTTCTGGGCTCATTTCGGGGGTGTTTTCTGTGTATTGGGAATGTGTGTATTGGGGTGTGTGTGAAGTTGTCCTCCTTGTCCCCTATAGAACAACACCTTGCGCGCAACATCTGTGCTCTGCTATCTCTGGAGATGGACAGATGTCAGGGGAAGCACCGACAGTACATACAGAGGTGGGCGCACTGAGTTATGCTCAATGACAGATTTCTGTGTGTCTTAGTAACCCACCAAAGTGCATGAAGCTGTTCAAAAGTAGGGCTGTGACAAATCAGATCCCATGTCCGTGCTGGAGATCTTCCCAAGCCGCCCACATGTGGACCTTGGTGAATGTCCATTGAGGGCTTCCTGCTGATTGCTGGATCCAGCCCCTCTAGGAATCCTTTTCATTGTAAGTCTGTGGATTGTTCAAATCTTGATCCCAAAACAGTCTGAAAAAACTATTTGGAATGAAACAAAACACCTTCCTCAACAGCAGAAGTACATCAAACTGCAAGTTAGCCATCAGCACATCTAAACATTACCCACAAGTGCATGTGTGTATAATGTCTGTCTGTCTGTCACAGAGCTGGGAATCGGTGGATGTGGGTTCTAGTCCCAGTTCTGCTACCAACTTCCTGTGGGACCTGGGCAAGTCATTTAACTTCTCTGGACCTCAGTTTCCCCATGTGTAAGACTGGTACAGTGATACTTGTCTCTTTGTAAAGCGCCTCGAGCTCTTTGGATGAAAAGGGCCTCTACAAGTGCTAAGTGTTGGTGGTGTTATCTATGCACTGTGCAGCTGTGGAAAACTACCGTGCTGCATCTACACACCCTGTTGCTAGATAACATGGCATTGTAACTTCACCCACTGTCCTGATTTCTGCTGTGTCAGCAGTGAGCATTGGGAATTCGATGCGTCCAAAAGACGCTTTCCTAATTAGCACAAAAACTCTGCATGCAGGGAAGTTTTTGTGGTGATCCAAATTGCTAACGAGGCCTGGTGCCCAGAGCTAGACGCTAACGTGGTGTGGACTTCTTAGATGGCTTTGTTGTTGTTATGTTCAGGGCTTAGGCAGGAGTTCTGCCTTCTCAGGAGTGTGATAGAAATGCCTGTGTGTGTGTGTTAACTTTCCGGGGAGCACCCGAGGGGAGAGAACAGGGCTGAACTGGAGGGTTTGCTTTGGCAGAGAGGGCGCTGTAATGAAGATTTCCCTTTGGCCTGTGCACTCTGATTCCACTAAGCTTTTATACTTCCTTGTTGATGTGGGCTGGTGGTGTTATTTATTCCTGTTACAGTAGCACAGAAATAGTAACACCTTGAGTGTGCTACACCCTTGCTCTGCCATTCTGCGCCAGTAGTGTTTCACACCCATGTTGTATTATAAATATATAAATCCTAACTCACCGGGGAGCAGCTTTGCTGATAGTAGTAGTGGTGGAAACACTAGTGTAGACAGGGCTCAGGTGTTCTTAGCGGCGTATTGTCTGACCGTGACAGTATGGTGATAGCCAACCTTACCCTGTTCGTACCAGTGCTTCTGCTGTTGCCAGTGGAGATACACCAGTAGTAAATGGTGCTGCAGCCAGAGGGAGTCGGTGTGAGGGCTGGGATTAGGACCCAGTAGTTCTTGGATCCCTGCTTTGTGATCTGCCATTCTGGAGTGGAAATGCGCAGCATTCCAGTAACATCTCTCCTGGGATAAGTCACTTTCATTCTATAAATCTTGCCCGGTGTGGACTGGGCCTCCACAGTGCCATGCACCGAACTTGTTCGGGGACATGCAAGTCTGACTTTGGGGTCTAGAGCAGAGGCGCCAGACCTCAGGAGCTGGGCAAATGCTCTGAGCTTTGTGGCTTTGCTTTTATTTTAGTCTGATACTCTTGATGGGGCCTGTTGGTGTCTCAGGTTCCCCTCAGTGGCTGCAGAGTCTTGTGGCTATTGCAGGTCACCCCTGCCAGCCTTGCTCTGTCTGCTGATAGAAAGGGTCTAGTTAGGCCTTTGCTTTCTCCTAACTATTCACCACCTGTTGGATGCCTCCTGCTGCCAACCCCAATGCTTTGACACTGGCGAATTCAACCCAGAGTGTAATGTGGCAGGTAAATGGATTTTAAACACAAAACCTCGCCATTCAGTTCTCTTGCGCTCTGAGTCTCTGCATTAGAAACCCCACAGCTGCGCCAGCTCTGAGGATGGGTTTCAGAGTAGCAGCTGTGTTAGTCTGTATTCGCAAAAAGAAAAGGAGTACTTGTGGCACCTTAGAGACTAACAAATATATTTGAGCATAAGCTTTCGTGAGCTACAGCTCACTTCATCGGATAAATTGGTTAGTCTCTAAGGTGTCACAAGTACTCCTTTTCTTTTAGCTCTGAGGATCGTAGCCCTGAACTGTGCTCTTTGCCTGTGTGCCTCCATAGCTCTGCTAACTAACCAGCTTCAACCTCTGGCTGCAGATTTTCCCCATCTTTCAAACGCGCCTGAAGCAAATGCAGGAATCGTGCTGCATGCATTTTCCCGGGCCTTGATTTTCCTAATAAACAGTGTGGACAGAGACCTGGCCATTTCACCCTGTGCTGGATAGTCACATTTTCCCAGTGCTGGTGCTGACCCAATTTTCCATATACACGTTGTAAGGGAGGCCATTCGCCTCAATTGTACCTTATTGTCTCATGTCCCCTTTGCTCCTCGGTATGTGTGTTTGTTTTCTCTCCTTACAAACTGTGAGGGCAGAAGAACTGGGGCAGACAGGGTGGGAGGGGGTCTGGTCACTCCCACATTGTAAGATTCACAAGTCTTTCTGGAGATCACTGGGAGCCAGTCTTCTGCACGGCATGCGTTCCATGTGGTTGGTGGTGGAGGCATTCCTGTATTACAGGAAGCCAGATTCAGGATCAGGGCCCTGTTGCGCTAGGCTCCCTCAGCCAAAGCGGGAAGGATTGGTTCATGCCCAAGAGGGCGCTCTTAGTTTCTGTGATTTGTGAGGTGTGCACAGGGAGAGGGCAACTCTTCTAAAGCTCTGGAAATAGAGGGGTCCTTGCTGGTGCGAACCAGGGTTAACACAACCATCAGCGATGGGGGTAGCGTGGGCCATGCTGTCCAAGCTCTGCCAGCGTCCTTCAGTCCTGATCTGCAGCGTCCACAGCTGTCCCAGCCTGGGCGCCTCACACCACCCCGAGAACGTGGGCCTCTGCCTGCCAGAGGGGAGCTGGAGCGTGGCCTGGCGGTGAGGGGGCCAGCCGGAGTCTTGAGAGACAGGAGTTTGAGTCCTGGCACTGCCTCAGACTCCCTGGGTGGTCTTGAGCCTCTGTGCCTACGTTCCCCTCTGTTCAGCGGGGCGGGTGATATTAGCCTGGCCCTGCCTCACAGGGGGTGTGAGACCAAATCCACTAATGCTTGTGAGGTGCTCAGGGACTGCAGTGATGGGGGCCGTGGGAGTGCCCAAGACCGACAAAATCACTGCCTTGTCCTAGTCCTGATGGGCCACCTACAGCAGGTGAGTTTTCTCGCTAGCCTGTGTTTGTGCTGTGGCTGTTAGGGTTGTGTCAGCCTCCAGTCTGGTCTGTGACCCCCCCAAGAGCTGCCTTGTGTGTGGTTGTTTTTAAAAACTCTCCCCAGAGGTGCTGGAGAGGTCTGGCAAGGGCTTGAGGAGCCAGTATGCTGGCAGCAGGCTCACGTACATGCTCAAGGCGGCACAAGGAGATGGCTCCAGCTTTGGGGCTTTCCTGATCGTATATGGTAGGTGCACTGGTGGTGGTGGCCTCCAGAAGTAGGGGAGGAGTGGGTGCGTGGGTGACAGGGCCCATTACCCCTTGTAGGGGAGCTGCTGAAGACCTCTACATTGCCAGGGGGCTGGGAGTGCACCCAGCTGTCAGGGAGGAGGTGGGCGCATGAGAGGGGAAGGGAGTTTGTTTTGGGGCTTTTATCGGTTTTGATCAGGAGAGGAAATCGGAATGAAAACACCTTCAGAGGGCAGAAACACAGGGCTTAATTCTTCTGGTGCAGGATCCCCACGACTGCTTCTTCCGAAAAGTAAGATCTTGAGGCTGGGTTTTTAGACTTGTTCTCCCGGGTTTTCTGGCTGGGATTCTGTTTTTGGTTTTGGGGTTGTTTTTTTTTGCTTTCGTGGCTGTTATTCTTTCTGTTGTCTCTGCCTTGGTATAAATTCCTTCTGCACGGGAGAAGTAGAGTTGGTGTGTATGTAGGAAGAGGACCTCTCGTGTGATTTCACAGCCATTGCCGTAGAGAGCCACATGGTGTCTCCTCATCAGCTGCTTTCAGGAGGCCACGAGTTCCCATTGCAGAAAGGGCTTCCCAGTGCCAAGGCCACCATAGCTGAAGGCTAATTTGGGAAGGCCAGTTCACTCCCAAGGTGAACCATTCCTCCCTGTGTCTGTTCGCAAGGATCGTACAGCCTTGTTGAATGCTGGCTGCCAAAATCGTGGCGCTCTGGGAAAAATTAAAACTCTGATACAAATCCCTTTCAGGAGAGTAAGCCAATTCTCCCTCCACTCCCCATCCCACTCACTTCTGCCTGGGGCTGAGCTCCGAATGGGGGGAGGAGAGTGATATTCAGCCCATTCTTCCTGGGGTTCCCCCAGTGCTTTACATGGAGTGAAGAGCTGAAGCCCCACAATGAGGTAAGGTCACAATCGTTATCCCCATTTTACCAGTGGCGAAAATGAGGCACAGAGCAGGACAGTGACTTGCCAATGGTTGCGCAGTGAGTCAGTGGGAGAGCTGGGAATGGAACCTAGGACTCCTGATATCTAGTCCTCTGTCGTAACCACTGGATCAGTCTCTTCTCGGATAGGGTGAGAACTTGCGGAGGGTGTGAGTGGTGTGGGGAGAGAGAAGGGACTGAGCTGATGGATGGAGCGCAGAGAAAAGGCTGCAAGAAATGTGCTGGGGGGGGGGGGCCACCTGCTTTGGGGTATTGGTAGGCATGGCTCTGGCTGGGGTCTGGTCACGGGAGCCCAGTGCTGCTGTGGAGAGGGCTGGGGCGGTAGCCTGCTTGTGACCACTTGTTTGTGGTATTCCTATTGACTTCCGGGGCTTTTCCTCACCCTGCTGTGCCCACAGCAGGGAACAAACAGGAGCATCTTTGGGAGCTGATGGGTGGTGCTTTGGAATTGGTGCTTTGGGCATGTGGCATTTGAATGAGCATGATCTGCTGTCAGTGAGTTAGCCCAGTTCCGA